TACTTTACTTTCATGGACTAACTGTGATATTGTAAATCGTCATCCGAACCAAAGTGTAAACACCCTATGGGATTTGTAAAAGCGAAGTCTTTGTAAGTTATATCCCATAATAAAAATTTGAAATTTGAATTTGAATTTGCTTGAAAGACATTTTGACAATGAATTACTCAGGAACTGAGGTTACACAATCCGTATCATATGTATCCGAGTGGACAAACCTGTCTTTCGAATCATTAATTTATCAAGTAGTAATAACTTGATATGATGGTGAACAATTTTGTTCAATGTCTGAATCAATACTTACATTTGATGCGTCTCTTTTCTGCACCTTTATCTGTCACATGTCAGTCTACACTGAGAGATTAGCAACCAAACAGAAAGTCGATTCAGACTCATTTCAAAATAGTCCTCGGTCTGTTTGACATAGAATACGTGTGAATCCTGTGCGGAACGCTTCAAAACTGTCTCCAGTGTGTAGTGCGGGCTAGACAGAATACTGTCACCTCTCTATCATCTACTTTCTACAGTCACACATTGCTTGAATCGTGCAATGAGTGTGTGTATATATTGCTGCCATTTCAACTTGCCGCCCAGGTCAAGGTCAACTGAATTTACACTCAGGGGGAAAATCCATCGGATTCTGCCATCTCGTTAAATCCTTTTGGTCAAACTACAAATTAGTATATATTGAACAATTTTTCGGCTGATCTCGAAGGCCAACTGACGTGTAGAAAATTGATCGATACATTGGACAAACCACAGCAAAACCCTTCTCGTGCACGTTTGTTTGTGTGTACTTACGCGTGACTGGTCCGCGTTGTATCGGATGAGGATCGTTAAGTTTCCCATTCTCAAGAGCATCAAACAGGAGACAAACATGTTCCCGCATGCTACCGCACATCCCAAACGGATAATGCTTATGCAAATGAGTCTAAACACATGGTCTCATGCCATGCCGGGAGACTGAAAAATCCCGTAAAGTGTGTCTGTGTGTGTGTTGAACAAGTAACTGGTGACTTTTAGTCTCCCTCAAATTTCGTCTGATATGGATCTTCTATCTGCCCCCGGGATTTTTTCGTACAACCACACACTGGTGAAAATGTGCCCCCGCAGAAGAGCAAATATATGTCACTATAGTTTTTCGCCTGGAAAAGGCAAATGTGAAATGAATAGTAAGTGTTGTTTTAGAATATCAAGCTTGGATTAGCCCATTCGATTATTCAGAGGCACCAGGGACTCTTGATGGTCTTCGGTGTGGGTTTCACTCTTTGGGAGATCGTTAATTCCCTACGAGACAATCGAATGGGCTAATCCAAGCTTGATACGCTAAACTGATTGAGCCCTTCGCACAAGGTGATGAC